AATGAACGAACGTGCTAAGATGAGGGTGAGAATGCCCTCAGCTACTACCTCCGGAGGCTCCCTCAAACATTGGGAACTTCTCATCAGTTTCCCCCAGGAACCGGTACCGCCGGAACCCGAGGGTGTAGAGATCTGCTTCTTTGGTGCAGTCCTTGATGGAGATATTCTTGTCCCGGCCCTCCGGGATCATGGCCAGAATCCTGCCATCTTTCTCGAGGGCGGCGCTCCTCCTCTTCTCGTGCCTCCTGAAGCGGTCACGCAGTTCCCTCGGGAAGGGGCTCTCGGCTAGCTTCACATAGCACCACCGGTCCTTCCACCCCTTGTTCGAGGAGGGTGCCTCGGTGAAGAGTTTGAACACGGACACCTGCTGCAGATTAGCGAATCCCTCGGCATTCGCGTGCCCCCCCGGCACAGGTTGAAGCTCTGGAAGAAGAGGTCCAGGCTAGGCGTCACCCCCCGGGACTTACAGAGCTGAAGGAAGCCAGTGATATAAGAATGGCTATTCGGGGTCAGCAAGCAGGGAACCAGACCGACGAACCGAAGGTACTCCCGGAGGAAGGAGTGCAAGGGGAAGCGGAGCCCCATGGATACTGAGAGGACGTGCACCGCAATGCAGCCCTCGGGAGCCCGGGAGAGAACGTCATCCGGAACCGGTGTCACCACGATGGCCGAGGGGCCCACGTGAAGCTGGGTGACATAGATGTCCGCCGCATCAACCTTCGACTTGATCTCCAAAGCGGCGGTGTTGAGATAGGAGTACCCCTCGGGCATATCGAGGGGCTTCCCTTGATCTGCTACGCTGCCCTTCTTCTTGGGAACAGCAGCCTTGGCCTTCTTCTTTCCGGGGGCCACCCGGAGGGGGACCGCATTCAGCGGCCGAGAGGTGCTGGCCTCCCCGGCACCCCGAGGGGGGAGCACAGCAACGGTGACCCCCTCGCTTTCCTTTTGTGCCTCCTCTTCAGCTGCTTGCCAGGCGATGGCCAACTCTTTGTCCTCACATTCCTGCTCAAAGCCCTCGGCCTCCGCCTCAGCTACGAGGGCTTTCTGCAACTCCAGGGCAATGACGGCATCCTGTCCCACCGAGGACTCTGCACTTGAGGACTCCACGTCCGAGAGGACTTCATCCTCCACCGAGGGCGCCCCCGAGATATCTTGAGAATCACTTTGGGACGACATGCTGACTCTAGTTCGAAGGCTCGTGCACGCTAGCGTTTCTAATTTTCTATCTCCTAACCTAAGGGCACGGTACAGGTAGCTAAGAGGTGAAGGGAAAGCGGGCACTGACCTTGAAAGCAGAAGTTCTGACCGAAGGCTGGAGTTTCTCTCACTAGATTTTTTGGCAGAGCTTCGCTAAGACAACTGAGTTCGCACAGGGGAAATGGCTCTGGCCTTGGGGTATTTATAGGCGATGAATCTGGGCTTGGGCCTGGATTCCGGGCCTCCGGACGGACCGCCATCATTACACACCGCCGTTTCACCCAACCGGTGACGCCGCCCACAAACAGCCAACCATCACACGCCACGTGTGCCACCCCCCCAACGGCTATATCCTGTCGTTACATATTCCAACGGCTATATTTCCAACGGCTATATTCTGGAAGCCCCCGGGTTTTCTACTTCACTCCACTTCATCAAGGATAGCCTCCGGGTGCACTCACCCAGAAGTGCCCCCGGGTTGTGCCCCACACAGCACATTACACACGCCTTCGGGATCACTCCTTCAGAAAACCAGGGCTTCATATCAGGACACCCCCTCGGGGATTCCCCCTCAGCACTGCAAAACCGGGTAGCCCCCGGGGAGTTGCCTCATTGACGGATGACCCACGGCACACAGGTAATGGGAGCCCTCGGGTATCTTCATCACCAACCAATCAACAAACAGTGGACCCCCCGGTAACAACTCCACTGCTGCCTTCATCTGGCAGGCCCTCGATCCCTGAATTGAGGGGCTCCCCTTCGGCGCCACCAGGACATCAATAGCAAGCCTTCGGCTAATCAACACAGGAGCCCTCAGAAGGGACAGCCTTCGGCATTCCCGTCATTCTCCATTTTTTACCAAGGTTTGACATTTTCGATTCATCATTGGGGGAATTCGGTGCACTCTTTTTCCCTCATTAGGATTTTTTCCCAAAGGGTTTTTCCTAATGAGGTTTTTAACGAGGCATCCCCCCAAAATGAAACGAAAAGCGTCAGCCTTCGGCCCACAACAGCAACATAACTACTTTACTCCTTTTGACCACTCTACAAGTGCCTCAAGGAGTGGGGGACTGGAGGACCCCCTCGGGAAAATCATTAAGTTACAAAATCTGTGAAATTCCAACAAACAACAAAGCAAGCCCTCAAGTCCCGACATGTGGGTAACTGAGGGACTGCCTTCGGCAGGGACATAAAAGCAACAACTCCTCACCAACTTCAGAGATCATGACGGGACAACATCAAAGGGCAAGCACAAATTACTCCTTTTCCCTCAAGTACCTTTCGGCAAAAGGAGTGAGGGACTCCTGATGGAGTATATGGCCCGGGAACCCCCGGCCCACAGACTCCTACTACTCCAGCAAAGGCCCAACAGGCCCAAAAGGCCCAACAGGCCCAAATCGCAGCGCCCAGAGTGCCAAGCAGTCCGCACTACGCGCCAGGGGTGCCTTCGGCCCCCTGGCCGAAGGCTCTGAATTCTCACAAAACGGGTTTCTCAAGCAAATTAAGAAACTGGGAGAAAACGGCGAAAACAGTAGCCCTCGGCACTGTGAGCCCTCGGCACCAGGGTGCCATCGGGTGGAAGAGCCCTCGGCTACTGCTCTATAGCCGAAGGCATCTCACTCGACAAGATATCCGCCTCACATGCGTACAGATCACCGTACCCCGCATAGACGTCCCATCCAACAGCCGCATTAAATGCGGCCACATGCGGCTGCCAGCGCCAACCATTTGAGGTGACCCCTCGGCCAATGAGCGCTTGACACGTGTCCCTGCCCGGCATTTATTGCTACTATAAATAGCACCCCATTTCCTCATTTGTAACCACGCTGAAAACGCTCCACATTTATAATACATTCTCTCTCTCTACATTTACTTGCTCTGACTTCTCTCTAAGTTATTTCCCGCAATAACCCTTCGGATATATACCCCCCGGGTAGACTATCCATCATATAGACTTATAGTCACTTAAGTATAAGAATTGAACATAAGTTACTAATGACTAAGTTACTACCATAATCACTACATTTGGAATGTCACATTTTTTAAAACATCATTTATTTTTGAAATTAAACACCAATCATGATAACTTGAAGTATCTCTAGTAGAAATATGGAAGGAAAGGAATGACACATCGGTAAAAATATATCCTCCGGTCACCAATATGGAAGAAAGAAATGAAGGCATTTTTGGGGATACTGACACTAATGCTGATGTTGTGATAAAACATATTAAGGTGGTGATTTATAGAATATTATATAGAATGAAACCCCATGCCATGATTGATTTTTGAAGGCACGCTTGTAGTGTGAATTCTTTTATATGTCGTTGGAAAAGTTTCAGGTTTTATGTTTGATATTAGAGATTGTTTTTGTTGTTGGTGGCCGAAAGTTTCAGTTTGTTAGACCAAATTTTGAGAGTTTTGATTCTATTTTTATTGTAATTTCCTACCGGTTGGATAGTGATATGTTTTTTTGGTAAAACATGTGAAATGCCCCATTAAGATGTACTTTTGGTGTCATGTATATATATTTCTTTTCATGCAAAAAATATCTTTTCCAGTGGATATATTGTATATTGCTCGTGGTGTGAAATTGGAATGGAAAAGAAGACACTCTTATCTCTCTCCTTTGTAGTTTCGGCAAGCCGGTCTAATAGCTTTACAGCTTGACGTAGCAAAATATTCATTTTTCACGGCAATTGTTGGTACTAATAGAAAATATTTCTACAAATTATCGAAATTATAGCTCCAAACTCGAAACTCAATTTCCAAGATCATACTAAACACTCCTTTTCCATACTCTCTCCTTTTTACATCTTCCTAAAACTCCAAAGCCTTCCAAGTTTTTTATCTTTTTCCTATTAATTAAAAAAAATATAAGTGATGAAAAATTAGAATATATATTTATGCTTAATCATGAGTTGTAGCCAGTGGTGGAGTCAGTAAAACGATTCAGAAGAGTCGAAACTCAACTTTATATTTAATGAAAAATTGTGGAATGTTTTTAGACAATAACCTAATTGAATTTTCATATGTAGCTTAGATAAATGGTAGTTTATATGAGACTAAAAGAATTATATATTTGATATATATATCATATATATCATAAACTTGTTTTATACGAGTTTAGTCAATGAGTTTCTACACCAATGATTGCCTTGAAGAAACCCTTTGTCTTACACTGGAACTCTATAGTTCCACTCTCACCCGACATAATATCAGAATTTTTTACTAGAAAAAATGGCTATTGAGTATGTACTTCTTTTGCTCGTGTAATAAGTAGTATATCAGAACCCTTTGTAATTTGTTTGGTTTTTTTTTGAGTATATGTAATTCTTTTGCTTGTGTCGTAGACAAAAATCAAATACTATCCTCCGTTCCATAAAAGTTGCAACAGTTTGACTTTCACGTTTGCCAACGCACAACTTTGACTGTAATTATATTTATTTACGTATCAGTAAACATTAAAAAAAGTTAATATATTGGAAATTTACATTAATACAAATTTATTAATATTTTATACATAATATTTTTATTATATATATTATTAGAAAATCGTAGTCAAAGTAAGGTGTGTGAATAGTGCAGAAATTCCAATGTTGCAACTTTTATGGAACGGAGGAAGTATGATACACAGCAAATTTGAATTGATTTAGGCAAAGTAGCAGATGAAATTTTGAGGGGCACGCAGTGGAGGGAAAAATATTTTTTGTCGCCAAAATCCCAATTCCCGAGCAAATTACAGTCATGCCCACTCATTATTCAATCCGAAGTCTAATGCTGAAACCCAAAAACAGTAAACGAAGGCTCTTTCCAGGTCCCAAACAGACATTTCAAATGTTTCGCAGCTCTTCTCTTCCTTCTCGATCTTTCACCCCCACTCTGTCTCTCTCTTAAACCCTCGCACCGCTTTCTCTCTCTAAGTCCCAAACTTCAATCACAATCGTTTCAGTTTTCACTCCCATACCCTATGCTCTCGTTGCTTTCTGCATGTATCTGCCGCTTCTCAGTTTTCAGATTCTCTTCAGCGGGTAATGCTTTATTTATTGATTGTGTTCACCGTCATATGATATGCTCATTTATTATTTTTTTATTGGAAAATGTTTTTGTTTTTTCATTACTTTCATCTTTTGTTTGCAGAGATTTGATGTTTTGTTTAGGGCGGCTCCGTGTTATTGAGTTTCTTCAGGTTTGATCTCCATTTATTTGATTTAGGCTGTTAGTTCTCAGGATGGAAGAAGGATTTAGATCAATCAATAATTGTAAGGAAGGGAGGGTTGAGTTGGATTTGAATGTGGAGCCCATGGAGGAAACAGAGAATGCGTTTGTCAAAACGGACCATGTTTCTCACCAGAAATACGATTTCCAACCTCTGGAGATAAAATTGGAAGACAGGGGGAGTTTGGTGAATGTTAAGTCTGAAAACGGTGCATGTTTAGCTGCCTCTGCCACTGCATGTGTAGAAGAGTCAAAGTCTATCCGATGTGATGGTGATGCAGTCAGAGAATGTAATTTAGCTGATAACCGGTACTTGCCCATTATGTCAAACGGGTCAGGCTGTGTAAAGGAAGAACCTTACACATCACAACAAGTTTATGTTCGCAAGGAAAAACTTAAGTCACATGATGATTTTTATGAGAGCAGGCAAGTGGAAAAGAGACTGACGGGGAGGAAAAGAAAAAATGCTGAAAATTCTCAAGGTTACAATGAGGAAGCTAAGAGAAAGAAAGACAACCATGAATCTTCCAAGGATAAAACTGGAAATCTTGGAATGGGATTGAGGTCAAGGATGAATTGTAAAAGCCCAGCTGAGACTCAGCTTATGGAAGCAATAGAGGAGGATCATAAGATTGATATTGATCAGCCACAAGAAGCAATAAAGGATAGTAAGAAAGTGAAGGGTCGTCGCGGCCGCCCTCCCAAGATCCGTGACAATGACAAATGTGCCCCTCCGATCAGTAAGGACAAGAAAAAGGTGAATGAAAGACAGAGTAAGCCCCTAAAGACACCCTGTCAAGACGGGTCTTCAGAAATGGTGACTATTAAGAAAGATCAAGAACGTGAATCGAAAGAAAAGTATAGCAATAATAATCCGGATGGAAACACGATTAAGAGCTCTAATATGTCTATAAAATTGAAAGAGGCAGATGGAGGTCGAAGGGCACAAAGGCAAGTAGTTAGAGATCAAATTGTTGAGATTTTGATAAAGGCTGGATGGACTATAGAGTATAGGCCGAGGCAAGCAAGGGAATACAGGGATGCGGTTTATGTAGATGGCAGTGGAAGAACACACTGGTCAATCACTTTTGCCTATAAGAGACTCAAAGATAAAGTTGATGCTGGAGCTGCAGATGCTAAGACCCTTTCTGCATTCACTGTTATTCCTGAAGAGGTACTCGAGATACTATCAAGAAAGACTCAGGGAAAGAAAGAGAAGAGTGTTAAAAATGGGAAAGGAAGCAAAAGTGTTAAGAACCCAAAAGGCAAAGAAAAATTAAATAATAAACCCAAATTTAGAGACAGATCGCTAAAGAAAACTGTCAAAACAAATGTGCACAGTCCTGATCATCATACATCCAAAAAGGGAAGTGCAAGGTCAAAAAGAGATGGGCGAAGTAGAAAGTCATATGCTTTGTTGGCACGTAGATCTGAGGAAATGTCTGCCGATCAAGAAGGTGAAGGATTTGTGGTTTATGATGGAAAACGAAACCTTCTTTCGTGGATGATTGATTCGGGGGTAATCAAATCCGGTTCAGTAGTACAATACATGAATGGTGAAAGGGCAAAAGTGATGCGAGAGGGCAAGATTAATAGTGATGGAATTTGTTGTTGTTGCTGTGGTCAAACATTTGCGCCTTTTGATTTTGAGACTCATGCGGGAAGTACACTATGCCAGCCTCTTAAACATATATGCATGGAATCTGGACGTTCTCTTCTACAATGTTTGGCAGACTCGTGGAGGGGCAAACAGGAAGAGTATGAAAGCAAGAAATTTCACGGGGATGTGGATGCTGATGACCCAAATGATGATACTTGCAATATATGTGGTGATGGTGGTGATTTGATCTGCTGTGATGGCTGCCCTTCAACATTCCATCAGAATTGCTTAAATATCCAAGTAAGGGTGCTGCTTACGTCTTACCTTACCAAAATTAGATTATTTAATGTTAATGGAAGATGTTTGTTTAAAATTTTCCCAGATAATGGGCATAATTCATCACTGAAACCTGAATTAAGCCATTTTCACTGGCTTTGATTGAGTCTTAAGAAGTACTTGATAAAAAAGAAAATGGCAAGGGAAGTTATTTTCTATGTTCAGTTTTACTTCAAAATGGCAAGGAATTTCAACCTATCTAACTATCTTTTATCCCTCCATATTTTCATTCCTTCTTGGCTTCCTACATGTTTTCCTTCCTGTTATTTTTGTTCCTTGGCATTTTCTGGGGACATTGTGGATCCTTATGTGGTTCCATTGCTTATCTGTAATGCTATTATAAGTAAAGTCATGATTGTGATATGTGACATTGATTCCATGATCTTGCATCTATAAGTGAAAAGTCTGATGACATTATGCTAAAAAAATCGTGATCCATTGTAGGACCACACATTTATCATAGTTAAATCCCAATCATTTTTTTTACTGATTTTGGCTACGTATGACAGAAGTTGCCTTCTGGAGATTGGCGATGTGTATATTGTTCATGCAAGTTCTGTGGGGCTGTTGCTGTTGCTGGTGATGTTGATGGCCATACCACTGTCTCTGACTTACCCTTGTGCCTTTTGTGTGAGGAAAGATGTAAGTGTGCGATTGTTTTTTTTTTGAACTATAATTCCACTTTGTGATTGACAATTTAAACCTAACCTTGTAGTTTTCTATTTGGACTTTTGCAGTTCATTTTTCTTGTAAGCAGGATGAGACTGCAGATAATTTGGATTCCATGGGGTTGACTTTGACATTTTGTGGACAAGAGTGTGAGAAGGTAAATTGTAACTGCTTGTACTTCCTGATTCACATGATGAGCTCATTGCCTTGGGATCACTTGGAAAGTTAGATTTTTAGTTTGCTTAATATGCTAATTTGGGCTATGACTATTTCCAAGTTCATTTAACCATTTTGTGGCAATTAAGATTTTTAGTTTACTTAATTGCCTTGAGAAGGTACATTTAATTCTACTTCCAAGTTCATTTAACCATTTTGTGCTATAACTATTGCAATTTTTACTATAATTAAAAGATTGATTTTGTATGTTTAATACATTTTTAACCTGGTCAATTCAGGATGTGGTCATAAAAAAGATGCTAAACAATAAGTTTACATCATGGAATTTGGTGGAAATGTGGTACTACCTCCATCCCAAAAAACTTTGTCATCATTAAAACTTTGACCAATTATATATTTTTATTGGAAATTATTTATAATATAAAAATGATATGAAAATGTTCTTTGGAAAGTACTGCATAAAAGTCTAAAATTTATAACGTTCATAATATTATACTAATCAAAATTATGGTCCAAATTTATGAGATGACAAAGTTTATTGGGACGGATGTAGTATAATAAAATGCTAAAATTGTACAAAAAAACTTATTAAAGTGCATTTACAATGTCCGCGATAAGTTCTTGCTTGTGAGTCATATCAAACCTAATAATGCTGTTAACATGGACAATTAACAACGCGAAGTTTGTACACTTCTGTCTATATTGGGTAAACTATACGGCAACAACCTTGATAATCAATATGGAATGTAAACCATAAAGCTTCTAGGTTATGCGCCCTTATTTCATCACCATTCTTTTCATTTAATAAATTTTCTCTCTACTATGTGTCAAACCTCTTTGGCATGTAGCTTTATGAGGGCCTGCAGGCACTTCTTGGGGTGAAACATGACATGGATGAAGGATTTTCATGGACAGTTCTTCATCAGTCCTCTGTCGGGAAGGAGGATGAAATAGGAAGGGATAATAACATGTTTAAAGTAGAGTGCAACTCAAGATTAGCTGTTGCATTCTCAGTCATGGATGAGTGTTTTATGCCTATTCTTGATCAGCGAAGCAAAATGAATGTGATTCAAAATGTTGTCTACAACATCGGGTAAGTATTGTTTTTCTGAGAGCATTGATCTCCATTAATTTGGTGGACATTTTTAAAGTGTTAAACTAATCTCTTTGTTCCCAGATCAAATTTTAAACGGCTGAATTTCTGTGGGTTCTATACTGTCATTCTGGAGAAGGGTGATGACCTTGTTGCTGCTGCATCCATAAGGTTTACTTTATGTTGACTTTCATTAGCTTCTTTTCTCTTCATATTGCTTAGCCTATGAGTTTAATAATATTTTGCAAAGATGTCCTCATCATTTTATGACCTATTCCCTGCATCCTTTATTTATCTTCGTGGTTGGACTTTACATGCCATTTATGAAAGAAAAGTTTTCAGTGGGATTTCCAATAACTTAACTAAAATGGGAGTAGTGTAGTATGGAGTATATAATTTACTTTTTAAAAGTTTACATTGAAATCAAAGAGCGGGATAATTTAGGGGTGTACGAAATAGAAAGTATGAAGATGAGCTGAGGGTGCAGCAAGTAAGTTAATTTTTGGCTCATAAAAGAGTTGCTCAAAGTTTATTTAGTACTCCCTCCCCTACTATCTATGTCTCATCTCTCCTTTTCCGTCCTCTTTAAGTTTATCCTGTACCATACGTCGTATTTGGTTAGTATGTGTGTGGTGTAAATTCATTCTTATTTTCAAATTCATTATAAACCACCTAACCTAATTTCACTTTAATAGGTTTGCCATTTTCACACGTTCCAAAAATAGTGGGATAAAGGTTACTTCTTGTGCTTGTATGAACTCTGTATTCATTATTTTATGTGTTGCTTTGAGTCATTATTTTATCTCTTTCTGTAATACAAGTTTCTCTACATCTCGCCATCCAATTGGGTGTTCAGGGAAATGGTAGTTATGTGACATTTTACGAGGCTAAGTGAACTTATAAATTAAAACTTCATAGTAATGTTTAAACTAGAGTCTTCTCACCGTAATGCTTTGTTTGTTTGCATAATTATTATGTGATTCTTTTTTCAAAGAAATAAAATGAATATTCTTGTTGCTGCTTCGTGTTTATGTATAGGCTACATGGGAATGTTTTGGCTGAGATGCCATTTATAGGTACACGGTACAAATATCGTCGCCAAGGGATGTGTCGCAGGCTCTTATGTTCCATTGAAACGGTAATTGTCGTTACTAGGTGTGATTTATTGTGTTTTGAGATCGACTGTTTTTGCATTTTTATCTATTTTTACATAAATCGTTTTACCAGGCACTTAGCTCACTTGGGATCAAGAAATTGGTCATACCTGCCATAACTGAACTTAATGAAACATGGACAAAGGTCTTCGGTTTCATGCCCCTTGAAGAATCAAAGAGACGCGAAATGATGCACATGAGCTTAATTGTATTCCCTGGCACTGATATGTTACAAAAGCCTCTATTGAAGAAGCATCAAGGAACAGAAGAAAGTCATATTATGTCCCCAGGTATCTCAATCAAAATCACCATTTATATGTAATGCTTTTAGATTGATGTACTTATTCCTTGTGGTCTCTCTGGTTTAGGAGAGAAAGTGGGGCAAATACATAAATGGTACCGTAATGGAATTTGGCACCCAACTATTGAATAAAACAAGTTGATATCCCAAGTACTATTTGAAATTTCAGCCATGATCACCCACATTGCCTGGATTTTACACGCATTTCCTAAAACATCAAGTATAATTCAGTACTCATTAGTTCACTTAGTTGATGGGGGGTCATCAGGAGTTGGATCCATTATGATTTGCTATATGTTTCAGACTTGAACAGATAATTAGGTCTATGAATTATTTCAACACAAGTGTATGGAGTGGAGACCTTATGTGTAATCAGTGCTGCCAGTCAAATGATTTTTTGTTGGAATTTCCTCAATGTATTATCTGTGTAGACAAGAAATGTACTGAAGGCAATGCCAATTTGTTTCATTTGATAGTTATGGGCTGATGATACCACTTATCAGGATAAATTGAGAAGAGAAAAAGACAAGAAAAATGGTTCAATACTATAACTGTTTGGCTATAAGAGAAATACGAAAGAAAGAGAATGAAATAACCTCCTTTAGGAAATAAAAATTCATATAGTGACCAATGGCATAGCGTCATTTCTTCTTATGGATGGAGAGACAAATCAGGATATTAGCATCATTATTACATTTCTATTTCATTTTAAGCAACCAATGAAGATCATATCATCATATAATTTCCCCAGCTATTTATTTCATTTCAGCCTTTCAGTATCATAATAATCATTTTACTAATCACGCTCTGCCAGTCCCCCTAAAGATGCAAGAAAGAGAGAAAAGGCTGAAAAATTGGTGGCATTTTATACTTGTGATACTTATGTATAAACTTCTAATGTAAAACTTTCCATGGATCTGATTGCTGCAGATGCTATAGCTGAGCTTAATCCCAAACAAAAAATAGATGCCATTGAGGCCTTAGAGTCTCATTCCACATCACTAACATCATCACTTGGCGGCTTCTTGGAAGATACCCCATCCGAAGTGAAAAGTGGATTTGAATCTTTTGTACAGCAGGAAGGTCTCAAGGTCCAGTAGGGCTGGCTGTACAGCCTTGTCAATTCTGTATATATATAAAGGATGTGCTCGAGGGATATGCAGTTGAACTCTTGCCTCTGGCCGGGTTATTGTGCAGAAAATGTGTGAATATCTAACTGCTGCATTTACGGTGCGATTTGATGATTGAAGAAACACCTTTTGAGGGATTTTGCTTCTTCTCTAGTCTTTTTGTCCAATGCATTACATATTAAAATTAGCTACGGTGCTTGGTTGGTGTCCCGAGGTGTACTTTATGTTGTATTATTATTATTACTACATGTATCATCATCATCATCATTATTATATTTGATCATGTTTGAGATCAGTTGAATCTATTCAAATTTATGAAATTATACATTTATACCTGAAATTGTTAAATTGGCTAATTTGTTGAATTATACTCCCTCCGTCCCAAAATGAACTTCACAGTTACTATTCACATGGTCAACTTACATTACTCTTAATCTTATGTTTTATATATCAAATTTTTATCAAATTTATATTTTTTTATCCGCTTTTGTAGCGGTTTTAATGTAGTTTCTCAATATGTAAATTTTATTTACTAAAAGTAATCTGAGTATGAACAGGGATCGAGTTGCTTTATCATTGGTCAAGTACGTAATCCGAAATGGGAAGTTCATTTTGGGACGGAGGTAGTATGAAAATATAAAAAAAAAAACTACTCCCTCCGTCTCACAAAATTCTTCTCACTTATCATTTGGGATGTTTCAAAAAATTCTTGTTTTGGAAATTTTTTGTTAACATTCATATAACTTATCTTAATCAATCACAATCAAATATTTTCATTTTATTTCAGCTTTATTCTCACTTTCATGTCAAGTCAAACTGTGAAGTGTTTTTGGGACGGAGGGAATATAGGAAAATAAACTGAAACAGTTTTGCATCAAATCCAGCCAAAATATGATCTAGTTTCACTTAGATAATTAATTGAAATCAAAATTTAATGTTTTATGAAAATAGTTGGTCATTTTTCATCATTTGTAATGAAGTCAAAGATTTAATATTTTTGGGCTTGAGCATATAATGAAATAAAGCAAAATGATTTAATGAATTATATGTGTTTCTTCGTTATGAAGCAAGAGTTAGTTTGAAAATTTCGATGCGATTTTCATTATAAGTAATATGGATATAGTTTCTCTATACTTTAGTACAGGAGTAAGATTGCGTATATATGACTCTCCCTTAGGGGTGGAACGGTTCCGGTTCGGGCCTGGCTGGGCCTCGGTTCAAGAAAGGGGAGGCCCGGAACCGGACCGGGTAACCCCCGGGTCCGGTCCGGGCCTCGGTTCATGTAATTTTTTTTGGCTTTTCCTAATTAACCCCCAACCCTCCCCCCTCACCCCCAAACCACCTCAAACCACCTCAAATGGCCCATCATACCCAGCCCAACCCAAAAACTTAAAAAAAATTACAAAGAAAAAAGAAAAACAAAATTAATTGGCCCGGACCGAGCCCGAACCGAGCGGGCCGGTTCACTATTTAGCAGGCCCGGGCCCAAACCGCCTACCTCACCGGGCCGGGTGGCCTGAACCGGGCACCAACCGGTTCACCGGGCCGGTCCGGGCCCGCACAGTAGCGAGCCGGTTCGGCCGGTTGGCCCGGCCCGAGTCCACTCCTACTCTCCCTTACCTATGAAGGCATTGGAGCCTTTGCGGCACTGGAGTAATATTTATGAAAATGGTTGGCCGACAGAAAAAGTACTCGGTCATAAAAAGGCTTTTAATGGTTATTATCGTTGTTATTGCCATCGTTTGTCATTGTTGTTATTGTCGTTGTTATCGTCATTGTTGTTTTTGTTAATGTTATTGTTGTTATATTTCACTTTAACGTGAGAAACACCCAAGATAAAAGTATTTTCTTGAAGAATCCTACAACGGTATCATTGCTGTAAAAACATTATCAAAAGTGTCAAAAAAGATACACCGTATTTTTTAGTTCCCACTCTAATAAACAATCCTCTAGTGACTTGGACAAACAAAATAATCTTCTAAAGCTTGAACCGGTGATATATGAAATGGACAGTAAAACACATGCATATAATTGATCCCTCAATTGTAATACTTACGCTTTGGGTGGTCTCCCTTATGAGTTTTTTCAGATTTTTCTTCTCATCTAAGTAGATTTGGTAAATATCCCTGACGCGGAGAAAACCTCATTCATCACCCTAGAAGGAATCTTTTGCTATTTGGTTATGGCTTTTGGTTTGAAGAATTCCGGGGCGACTTACACAAGGATGGTCGCCAAGGTGTTCCGAACAGTGCTGGGGAGGAACATGGAAGCGTACGTAGATGATATGGTCGTAAAAAGCGTACGAGCAAGTGACCACGCCGACGACTTGGCCGAAATTTTTGGGATCATGAAGGCAGTCCCGCTGCGCCTGAACCAAAAGAAGTGTACGTTTGCTGTCCAAGGTGGAAAGTTTCTGGGATACATGGTCACTCGGAGAGGGATAGAGCCAAATCCCGAGAAAGTAAGAGCGATCCTTGACATGGAAGCCCCAAGGTCGGTGAAAGAAGTGCAAATTCTCACGAGACGATTGGCATCTCTTGGACGCTTCATGTCGAAATCAGCAGAGAAGTCCTTACCTTTTTTCCAGGTTCTCAAGAAGCAAAGTGGATTCGCATGGACGGATGAGTGCCAGTGGGCATTCGAGGATCTGAAGAAGTATCTCCTCTCGGAACCGCTATTAAGCAAGCTGAGGAAAGGAGAGACACTAATATTGTATTTGGGAGTGTCGCAGGGCGCGATCAGCTCCATGCTGGTCCGCGAAGAAGGCGGGATTCAGAACCCCGTATACTACGTAAGTAAAATCTTACAAAATGCGGAGCTGCGGTACACCCCGCTCGAGAAGACCATCTGTGCCGCTTACATCACGGGAAAGAAGTTGACCCATTACTTCCAAGCACACCCGATCAGAATCCTATCAGATCAACCCCTGGGCGCAGCATTGAGAACCCCGGGGACAACGCGGGTCGTGAAGTGGTCGATGCTTCTCAGTCAGTACGAGGTCGATTTTCAACCCCGATCATCCATCAAAGGGCAGGTTGTGATACCTTGAAATTTTGAAATAAAAATAAATAAATAAATAAATAAATCAGATAAGTTATATCTGATAAATCAAATGAAAGTAATATCAAAATATTTTGTATTATACTTGGTGTATAAAAATTTATGCACGCTACATGCAATAAAATTAAACACTTATGTGGCATCGAAAAAATAAAATAAAAATAAAATAGAAATAAATCAGATAAAATATAGATGACAGAATAAATAAATAAATAAATAAATAAATAAATAAATAAAAATAGTAAGAATATTAAAAATTACTAATAATAGCATCAAATTAATAAATGAAAATATCAGATCATAAAACAATGACACATGCTAGGATCACCTACCAAATAATGTATATACATTATGTACATATATTTACATATATAATTATATATATTTATATGTAAAAATTAAAATAAAATAAAATTAAACATCAACATAAATGGGAATCAAATCATGAATCAATACACATGCCATGTTCATCAACTACCAACCTATCATATACATTATTATTATTATTATTATTATTATTATTATTATTATTATTATTATTATTATTATTATTATTATTATTATTATTATTTTTATTATTATTATTATTATTATTATTATTATTATTATTATTATTATTGTTATTGTTATTATTATTATTATTATTATTATTGTTATTATTATTATTATTATTAGTATTATTATTATTATTCATACAATTATCAAATAAATAAAATAAACCATAAAGACCATCTAGACCTATAAATACACCATCTTAGCCATCCCAAAAACTGCAAATCGGAGAGATAGAAGCTATATATATATATAATCTCACCGGAAAATTTATATCTACATTATTTTACGTATCAAACTTCGTAAAAACGATAGAGGAGGGTAATGAGAGGTCTAAGAATACTTCCCAATAAATTCAAGACCGATTCGTAGTCACCGGAGTTGCTTAGACGTCGCCGGAGTGTCAAGCCATGCAAACGGGTCTTCAGTAAAAGCGGACATTTGGCCGTAGATAGGGGTGTAGGAGCTTCGTCTCGACGTCAGGATCATTTTGCAATTTGAATTGTCGAAATCCGTTACCTGTAAGTCAAGTTATAGCTCGCTGAAGTTTTCTAATTTCCGGCGAAGTCGCCGGAATCGCGACCTGGAGAAGATGACCGAGTTGTCTGGGTCAGAACTTCTTGGGCCGGATCAGTTCAATAAGCCAGTGCGGCCCACTTTCAATAAAAAATAAAAATAAAAAGTAAATGAAATAAATAAAATCTGGAAAAATATAAATTAAATACCTAATATAAATATACATATTCGGACCAACCAGAATTGAAAAATAATATTTTTAACTATTTTTAATTGATTTAATTGTAATTGGGCCAATTTGTACATATTTAGTAAATAATTAACTAAACGACGAAATAAATTATGAAATAATTATTGGAGTAAACTAGATTAAATATATGACTAACTAGGACATTTGGGACCATTTATATTTAATAAAAATTATGATTAGTATATTTAATTGTAATTAAACCGGTTAATAGATATATGAAATTAAATGAATAAATAAGGGAAATAATTCTAAAATAAATATCTGGACAACCTAGGTCAAATATAGACCCAAAATATAGTTATGGACGGTTATAAATTTATAAAGTTGATTCTTAAGCTATTTAATTTAATTGGGCCATATAAAACTAGTTAAGTAATTAAATAAGAAAATTTGAATAATAATGGTGAAATAAATAAAATCACTAAGATTGGAAATAATATTCTGGACTAAAATGAGGTTTGGAATAAAATAAGGAAAAAAAATAAAGTTGGGATAACTAGCATAAATGAATGACTATATTTGGACTTAATAAATAAATTATTGAATTAGTGGACTAATTAAATTAGTGTGATTAAATTAATAATTATTACCCTTGATTATTATTGATTTGGACTCCATATAAATTATTAAACTATTTGAACTCATAAAAATTAGTTGATTAATATAAACAAATTAATTAAGTAATGTGTACTTAATAATTTAGTTAATTGACTTCATTGGACTAGTTTAACTAAATCAATTAGTTTAATGGATAAATTAGTTAAATTATGGACGTGGTAATATTTTTGGACTTTATATTAAAAATAGAAAATTAAAATGAAATTAGAATTTGATTATTGGTCTTAATTGAATTAGATTAATGTATTTAGCTATATTGATATAATTAAACTTATTTAGTTGATGAAGTTGATTCAATTAAATTAGTTAATCAAATAAATAAAACTGGAGGATTGGATTAATTAATTTAATTGGGTTAGTTAGTATAAATAAACTATTGAACTAATTAAAGTTGTTATTGAGATTAGAATATCATTAATAATTATTATTTCGAATTATTGCTTACGTCAAATTATTATTAAAAGGTTTATTAAATAAATTATATAAATTATGTAAATTAAATTTTGAACTGAAATTGATTATTTAAATTTGAAAGAACTAAATTATTATGTAGTTAATATAATTAGACTAGTTAACTAATTAATCAAATAAATTATGGAGGGATTAGTATGATTAAAGAAAATAATAAGGTTGGGCTGGAAATTAACATTTTAAATAAGGTTTATGAATCTAATTTAATAGTTATATTTAAAGAAGGAATTATGAAATTAAAATAATTAAAGGTTGGATAGATAGGAAATAACAAAAATAATAGAGTAGTTATTGATTTAGATTTTTGATATATATTAGAAGGAGGATTCAGATGAAGACCAAAGATAGAGATTTTATTAAGGGGATTATCGCAATCTAAGGTAAGTTCTATGTCAACAAAAAATGTTTTATCTCGTACTTATATGTATGCAATATTTGAACTATGTGAATTATTTATGAATCGGAAACTATTTGTTTGACATGGAATGAATATTTTGAATGTATGAATATTGGTGGATTATTATCTATTATGGATTATTAAATGTATATTCTTTTTATTAAAGAATATTGGTGGATTGATATTTATTACAAAGTATATTTTTGGAAAGTGTGACAAGAATGACTTTGGGAGAAACTTAAAGTTTTTCATGATATATTTTTACGTCTCGAGAGAAACACGAGGCGTGGGTGATTAGGACTACTACTACTTTTGGTGAAATTTATTTGGGTCGGTAACCAGTCCGACAATGACATGCTCCGGTTGACATCCTGGGTTTTTATTTGAGGACCAAAGGTCATTTGGTGGTCGTAGTAGTAGTTACCTAATTTACCCTTGGACAATGTCCCTTGTGAGTAGGTGGTAGAAAACATCCTGCCTACTTGAATTTCTTACTACTCGGAGGGCTTGGAATCCCTTTTAGAGGGTGTGCACACTTAAGGTAGAAATTCAGCTTCTAATTGGTGGTCGGTGGGAGCCAGAATTCCGGGATGAGTCGTAAATAACAACGACTCATTGGGCTCGAGGAATCTTGAGTTTTGCTCACTCTTAAAAGAAATCTAAAGTATTACTTTTGGAGGAATTGAGGAATGACATTATCTATTGAAGAAATTATTTTGAGACATGAAGTTATTGTGGAGATATGAGAGGGTATTTTCTATATATATATATATATATATACACACACACACACACACACACACACACACACACACACACACACACATATACCAAACCTATTTTCAAAAATTATATTATTTTACGGGTTCGGGTGGAATCTTACTTAGCTCTAAAGCTAATTTTTGTCTCTTTTGTCTTCTTCTCTTTGTTCTATTGTACAGATGATTATGATTATGAAGATTGATGTACTTGCTGCCCGAGTGTTTCGCTAGTTGCACACGTTTGATTAATTATCGTTGTTTAATTTTGTAATTCATAAACTTTGTCCTAAGACGTATTTCATTGTTATTTGAACCTATGGTGGATAGCCTGTGCACTCAATCATGTATAGATTGAGTGTGGTGGTGACACATTTGTTTTTCCCTTAAAGACTTCCGCAATACTCTAAATATGTTTAATAATAAAGGTGGTTTCATTTAAAAATGTGATTTTATTTGGGTGGGAAAAATGGGGGTGTTACACAGGCACTCGCGGATTTCATTGTGGAATGCACGGCGAGGGAAGTTACAGAAAGACAAAGAGATGGTGAAGAACAATGGTGTACCCTGGCAACCGATGGATCGTCCGGAACGAAAGGTTGCGGGGGCGGGATCATCTTGATCTCGCCTGAAGGGTTTCGAGCGTACTACGCTTACCATTACCTGTTCAGAGTGTCAAATAATGAAGTTGAGTATGAAGCCCTGTTGTCAGGGCTACGACTAGCTGCGACCATGCGAGCGGAATGCATAACAGTGAAGTGTGATTCTCGATTATTCGTATCCTTAGTGAAGGGTGATTTAAAGGCAAAGGAAGAAAGGAAGGTGAAGTACAGGGATGTTGTTCGGGAATTGCTCGAATTGTTCAAGCGAGCGGAGCTGGTTTGCGTGCCGCGGAGCCAGAACGGGGACGCCGACCTCTTGTCTCGTCTGTCCCAAGGAATACCTGAGCACATATCCAAGATTGCTCGGGTTGAAGAGGTAACCGTCCTTCCTCTACAACAAGTAAATTGGAGTTGGGTGGATGATTTGTCACGTTACATAGCTGACGGGACCTTACCCGATTAGGAATGGGAAGCAAAGCTCGTGTTACAACGGGCTCCAAGCTATGTCGTCCTGGACGGTAAGCAGTATAAGCGATCTTACAACGGAGCGTTGTTAAAGTGTCTACTACCACACGAAGCCGAGATGATTGTCGCGGAGCTCCACGGTGGTGTTTGTTCGGCCCATCAAGGTGCATGCACCCTGGCCCGGAAGTTGTCCTCCACGGATATTTCTGGCCCACAATTATGAAGGATTGCGCTGATTACGCAAGGAAGTGTGATACCTGCCAAAAGTTTCAGAGGAGCCCCGGAAGGTCGGCAATGATGTACATGCCTGTTAGCACTGCTCTAGCGTTCACCCGATGGGGTATAGACTTGGTTGGTTCCTTACCAAATGCGTCCGGAAATAGAAAGTTTGTCATCATGGCCGTGGATTACTTCACGAAATGGGTGGAGACAGAGCCGCTCGCCACCATAACACATCTTCAATGCATGAAGTTTATATGGAAGAATATCTTTTGTCGCTTTGGAGTTCCTTTGCAAATTATTTCTGATAATGGAAGGCAGTTCGATTGCGAACCATTCAAACAATTTTGCGCCGAGTGGGGCGTGGAGTCGAGTCGTGTAACACCGGACTCGAATTTTACCCAGAGATTTTTTTCCCATCAAGTACATGGTTAACGAAGGTAAATCAAGACTAGAGTAGCCTTGATAAATGAGAAAGATAAAATTGTTGTCTTAAATTAATAAAGGTTATTAATCAGACGCGGGACCTACATCGGGAGCGGGGACCACCCGTGATATTTAAAGTGTATAAGATACTAATGTTGATCTAAAAGATACTATTATGATAGTAGGAGTGGGTGGTAGACCCCAGTGATATAAAGAGCGACAACTGGACGGCCGAGCGGGCCTGGGCCACTATTCAATAGTGGGGAGTCCTTAATTATCGGATTGTTAATAATTCACAGGACTACGAATTAATAACATGAGAAATATGAATATTTTAAAAATCCAAAACAAGGGAATGATAAATATATATTTAATTTTGGTACATGAAAGGAGGGTACTTTCGGAGGACCCTACCTTGAAGATATTTTCGTATGAGGACAAACAAATAAGATTTTATCTGTTCATACATTTTGGACCACTTAAAAAGAAGTGTAACATTTTATTAAAGCGTTCTCATTTTTACTGTTACTTGGACAGTAAATTTCACGTTGGGACTACACTAAGAGCGGGGACCATCCGATATTTTCGGGACCACATATTACATTGATCTTGATCTAGATGATATTTATATGACGGTGTAAATTAATGTTGAGCCATAAAATTGGCCTTTCGATCAAACAATGTCCCATTACCAGTATAGGTAATTAAACAGATAATTGCCCGAAATAAATTACGGGGACCACTAAATTAAATTTGAGTAATATATATTCATTCTAGACGCCAATTTCAATTGGAAGAATGATATATATTTTAATTGACCCGATAAAATGAAATTTAATTAAAACAGTCTAGAAAATACAACTTTCGGGACCGATTGTACACTTTGGGACTTCTAGGGATAACCTCCCACATTATTGGGGGCCAACCCACGATTTTATACACTCAAGGACCATATTGTGGGCTGTTAACATGAGGATAAGGTGTGGAATGTGTGAGGGGATGGGAGAGACACAAATGAAAGGTAAAGGGACCCCCTCCACATTATTATGGCATGATGACAAAGGATACACACTCTAACTCACCCACCCTCTCATTACTTCGACCCAAACCATCAAGGAAGAGAGGATAACCTCTGCAATTCATCATCCTCCATTGTTGATGCAAGCTCAAACCAAGTGAGATCCAAGGAAGAAGAAAAATGAGAAAAGAAGAGAAAAACTTGGAAAAATCAAGGTAATGACTTCATTAGTATTTTTCCTTCCTTCATCTAATCTCATATGATTTTATAAATCATATGATAGACCATAAGCTTGTTCTACACCCTTAGAGATGTAGAATGAGGGGTTGGAAGACTAGTTTTAACCATATCGGAGTTATGACCGGAGTAAGACCGGTTTGCCGGAAAACACCTTCTCGGAGGGTTTTGATATTTATACCACTTTTGGTTATGAAACCTTGTTAGGAATTTTACCAAGGTATTCTAGACTTCTCAAGGAATCTAGGAGTGGACGAAAAAGTCGCCGGAGCCGCCGGAGTTTACGCCGGAAAATTCCAAAAGTCGCCGGAGTTCAATCGAAGAGTATAAAAGCTCGCTAACGTCATTTCAAAGTGAGTGGACGACTACGTGTCTTGTAACTCTTGGGTCAAACGCGGGATTACCTAAATAAAATCATAATCATGATTTGAGGAATGATTGAATGGATTAAAATGCATGATTAGTCATGGTGAATATGATTTATGGAAATATTCCATGATTAATGAATAAGAGATTTATTTGTGGATTAATCATGAATATATTACTGTCAAATGTATAAAAATGCATACATGGACTATGTATGATATAACTAGAGTAAATCTAGTATGTGAATATGTATAGAAATGTTTAAAAGTGTTTAAACAAGTGATTAGCTATAATGATTATAAGTTATGTGAAAATGGCATGATTAATGAGTAAAAGAATTATTAATATTTTCGATGAAGGATAATCATGAATGATTTAGTTGGACATTAACTAAGGTAATTCAAGATGGTATTCTTGAAGGATTCAAGTACTTAATCATACATGTCATTAACTTAAATCTAGTTATGAAGAATAAACTAGAACGAAATATATAAACGATTAATAAGTATGAAGTACTTATTAATAGTTGTGAGAAGATGGATTTATGCTTTATCAAGTTTGAGTGAGGCATGAGATTACCTAAAGTAATCAAGAATATATTTCATGGAATGATTAAAGATAATCAAGTATGTGTTATGCCATGATTATATGTAAAATATAGTTGAAAAGCATGTTAGGTAAGCTTGATGAGATAAAATGTGATAATTAATTATGTATGATGTTCCAGGGATCCAAATAGGTATTTTTGGATCAAGGACGTCAAGAAGTACATGTGTATAAAATTTCACGTTAATCAGACTTCATTTGGGGGGTCAAACGGGCGTTGACCGCCAAGACAAAGGTGATACCCGACCGGGTATGGGTAAATACCCGACCGGGTATCGATTAAAAATGACTCCAGAAGCCACTGCCACACTAGACCCGACTGGGTATGGGTATAGACCCGACCGGGTCTCAAGTAAAATTGGCTCCAGGGGCTACTGCCTCACCATACCCGACCGGGTATCGGGTTATACACCTAATATGCAGTTTTTGAGTAAGTTTACGTGGGCCGTTCAGGTGAGACCCATCCACGTGGGTTGCTAAGGCATCGAATACGGTTTAAATGCTAAGACTTGGACTAGTCGTCAGTAAAGAAATTATATACCACGACTGGGCGAGGTAAGTGGTAGATTATAAATGGCAGGTGAATACCCGGGACCGAGTAAGGTCAGGTAATACTCTATAGGACCAGGAGAAGTCCTTTATACTCAAATGTTAACAAGGGTCCGTGTAGTTCTTGAGGTGTGTTAACCTCCAGTAAATTATACATAGGTAACAAGGGCAAGGGTAGTCCTTGAGGTGTGTTAACCTCCAGCAAATTACACATAGGTAACAAAGGCAAATGCAGTCCTTGAGGTGTGTTAACCTCCAGCAAATTACACATAGGTAACAAGGGAAAATGCAGTCCTTGAGGTGTGTTAACCTCCATCAAATTGCATATAAGTAACAAGGGTCCGTGTAGTCCTTGAGGTGTGTTAACCTCCAACAAATTACACATAGGTAACAAGGGCAAGTGCAATCCTTGAGGTGTGGTATCCTCCATCAAATTGCATATAGGTAATAGGGGCCCGTGTAGTCCTTGAGGTGCGTTAACCTCCACCAAATTACACATATGATGAGGGTGTACGCGTACTCCTCAAGGCAGGGTTAGCCCCGGGAATGTAACTATGATTTTAAGGACGGATAGTCCTCGAGGTAGGTGAACCTCAAGGTAATGATTTTAGATGATTAAACATGCGTGATCGGGAATGAGTTCCCGATAGGGTATTTTCCTCGGTCTAGGAATTTAATTTAAACCATGTCTGTGATATGGGAGCCCGAAGGCCCCCCCGCAATAGTTATCTTTGTTATCGAGTAAGTTAGCCTGCGGGTGACTCCACTCGAGGGTAGGACATGGGAAGGGTGAAATTAATGAGGCTGTTACGCCTAAATGATTTGAAAGACAAATGGGCCCACGGGCCGGATATTTTACTCATATGTATATATGTATACAACATGTTTTAAAAAGGGGTAGCCAAGAGTTATGCCTATACATATACTATCACCCTGTGTTGAGGGTTCCATGTGAGAAACGTTAGTTATATTACATATAGTTTGCCCTCACCAGTACTTTTTTGTAGTACTGATCCCTCGGGGGAACCACCCTTTCAGTTTGAAGCTAGAGCTTACTTCCTGCACCCGTTGTTCGGGAGATCGATGGAGAGAAGACGTGGTTCGTGCTTCCTCTGGTTCTATTTCTAAATAATTAAATAATGCTCATGAAACTATTTTTGACTTATAAATTAATGGAGCCTTTGAGCTCTTGTTTTACCCTTGTGTGGGTTCTTATTGAACACGTATATTCCGCTATGTGTTTAATTGTATGTTGATGTTTTTATGTATGTTTACTAATCAGTTTTGGCATATGTATCTATCGGACGTCTTGTGCAATTTAGTAAGGATGAACTACGGTGATTCTTATTGGGTTGTACGATGGTTGTCTACTTGGCACAGACACGGTTTGGGGCGTCACAATTAAGGGGTATCAGAGCTATACGGTTACTAAACTATATAGTCAACCTCTCAACAAAGTTTCTATCAAAACAATCTTTCAAAGAAAATCCATGAGCATAAATTTTGTACTTTAAGAGCATTTGGTTATCGAGTTGCAAGGTCTCTGGTTGTTAAGATGGGCCCCTTAACAATTGGTATGGCAGTGACTTGAGCCAAGTTGTGTCTTAAGTACGTTTATGTCAATTGACATTCAAACGAGTCCAAAGACTCATTTCAATATATTCTTTCAGGAATGGGTGGTAGCGATAGGGCAGTTCGAGGGAATCCGAGAGGGTGGCGCCGGGGATAGCCGGGCAAGCTAATCGAGGAATATCAAGGTCGCCAAAAAGGTGAGGTAGGGGCCATCAAGGCCAACAAACACAAGCCGCGATGGCTGATTGCATTGTGACTAGATTCGAGTCGTGGAACTCGGAGGATGACTCAACTTATTACCCTGAAAGTGAGTCAGATGATACTTCTTTTGACAAAAACGGTGGGGAGGATATACATAGTATTCCTCTTGACCAGGTTTGTGAGATGTACCGATGGTACCAACGGGAAAGGGAAAGGCAACGACAAAGATCCCAGGTGGGGCATGTCAGAGACGAGACCTCTCGCAAGAGGGGTTGGGGTGCTCATAGGGCACATGTTAGGACGGTCAGAGATTCTGATGGTGAAGAACCATTCATTAAGATCTCAAAGTACCTGAAAGATGCTAGGGCCAGGAGAAGTCCTTTATACTCAAATGTTAACAAGGGTCCGTGTAGTCCTTGAGGTGTGTTAACCTCCAGTAAATTATACATAGGTAACAAGGGCAAATGTAGTCCTTGAGGTGTGTTAACCTCCAGCAAATTACACATAGGTAACAAGGGCAAATGCAGTCCTTGAGGTGTGTTAACCTCCATCAAATTGCATATAGGTAACAAGGTCCTGTGTAGTCCTTGAGGTGTGTTAACCTCCAGCAAATTACACATAGGTAACAAGGGCAAATGCAGTCCTTGAGGTGTGTTAACCTCCATCAAATTGCATATAGGTAACAAGAGTCTGTTTAGTCCTTGAGGTGTGTTAACCTCCAGCAAATTACACATAGGAAATAAGGGCAAATGCAGTCCTTGAGATGTGTTAACCTCCATCAAATTGCATATAGGTAACAAGGGTCCGTGTAGTCCTTGAGGTGTGTTAACCTCCAGCAAATTACACATAGGTAACAAGGGCAAGTGCAGTCCTTGAGGTGTGGTATCCTCCATCAAATTGCATATAGGTAACAAGGGCCCGTGTAGTCCTTGAGGTGCGTTAACCTCCAGCCAACTACACATAGGATGAGGGTGTATGTGTACTCCTCAAGGCGGGGTTAGCCCCGAGAATGTAAACTATGATTGTAATGACGGATAGTCCTCGAGATAGGTGAACCTCAAGGTAATGATTTTAGATGATTAAACACGCATGATCGGGAATGAGTTCCCGATAGGGTATTTTCCTTGGTCTAGGAATTTAATTTAAACCATGTCTGTGATATGGGAGCCCGAAGCCCCCCCCCCCCCCCCCCCCCCGCAATTATGATCTTTGTTATCGGGTGAGTTTGCCTGCGGGTGACTCTACTCGAGGGTAGGACATGGGAAGGGTGAAATTAATGAGGCTGTTACGCCTAAATGATTTGAAAGAGAAATGGGTTCACGGGCCGGATATTTTACTCATATGTATATATGTATGCAATATGTTTTAAAATGGGGTAGCCAAGAGTTATGCCTATACATATACTATCACCCTGTGTTGAGGGTCCCATGTGAGAAAAGTTAGTTATATTACCTATAGTGTGCCCTCACCAGTACTTTTCTGTAGTACTGATCCCTCGGGGGAACCACCCTTTCAGGTTGAAGCTAGAGCTTACTTCCTGCACCCGTTGTTCGAGAGATCGATGGAGAGAAGACGTGGTTCGTGCTTCCTCTGGTTATATTTCTAAATAATTAAATAATGCTCATGGAACTATTTTTGACTTATAAATTAATGGAGCCTGTGAGCTCTTGTTTTACCCTTGTGTGGGTTCTTATTGAACACTTATATTCCGATATGTGTTTAATTGTATGTTGATGTTGTTATGTATGTTTACTAATCGGTTTTGGCATATGTATCTATCAGACGTCTTGTGCAATTTAGTAAGGATGAACTGCGGTGATTCTTATTGGGTTGTACGACGGTTGTCTACTTGGCACAGACACGGTCTGGGGCGTGACAAGTCGGGTGTCTGTTTGCTATCCTCAGGAGAATGGTCAAGTGGAGAACACCAATCGCACGATTGTAGATGGCCTCCAAAATAAATTAGATGCTCTTGGGACAGTGTGGGTTGAAGAGCTAAGTAACGTGTTGTGGACATTCCGGACCACCCCCGGGAAGGCGACAGGCGAAACTCCTTTCGCCCTGTGCTATGGCTTTGAGGCAAGGGCCCCCTTCGAGGCGGTGATTCCTAGTCACCGGGTAGAGGAGTTCGAGCCAAACATCAATGAGGAGAGGCTCAGAGCCGAACTCCACCTCATAGAAGAAAGAAGAGATTGGGCATTCATCACGGCTGAGAATTACCGTAGGCAAGTGAAGGCGTACCAAGATAGCAAGGCCGTGCTACGAAGCTTTGACGTAGGAGATTACATGCTAAGGCGGAGGAAGGCAAGCAAACCAACGGAAGGGGGGAACTCTCCATCAAGTGGGAAAACTCATTGAACGTGCATGGAACGCGGAGCATTTACTTATGTTTTATCATTAGTGATGTGTAATAATTAATCTTTCCATCGCTTTAATACAATTGCTTTAATAAAAGTTCGTTTTTTGCTCTCTATTTATTATTGAATTGGCTGAGGTCCGACCTCACTTGGGAATGAACGGGCAGGGGCTTACAAAAAGAAAAAAAAATCACGCCCTGCTCTCGGTGTTTAGCCGATCACAGCTAGATGCTCATAAAGGAAATGATCGAATCATTCTCCAAGTCCAGGAATAGCTGCTCGGTCAAAGCGACCGTTAAACCGGCCTCCGGGTTGAAAAGGTATGCGAGAGGTCGGGCCCTGAGCCCCTTTCGTACATCCGTGGTCCGACGTCGCTGTCTAAACAGCCCGCCCACTCATTTGACCTAATTGACGGTGCAACAACTATATGACCGGCCTCCGGGCCGAAGGTATGTGAGAGGGCGTGCTCCGAGCCCCTCTCGCAGGTCCATTTCTGACGTTGCTAGGCTTAATAGCCTGTGTACTCGTTTACTATGGTCAATGGTGCGGGTCCGTTCTGGTCTGACCTTGAGGGCCTTGCCCTTACGTTTGGCTGACTTCAGTTCGACTTTCAGAAAAGGAGATCAGATTTTTCCTGAGTATGAAACTAGCTGTACAAGTCAAGGTGCAGGACCGGCCTCCGGCCCGAAGGTATGCGGGGAGTCGTGCTCCGACACCTTTTTGCACATCCGTCGTCTGACCACGGGCCAAACAGCTTGCTCACTAGTCAGTCCTAGACCGATGGTGTGCGGGTTAGCCTTGCCTTACCTTCCGCCCCTCATGGCTTAGGTGGGGAGCCAGATCCCCGATTAGTTCCCCAAGTGGTCACGAACGAAAAATAATTAAGTAAATGGAAAAGATGAACCAGGGCACAGATACAAAGTTACGTAAGGAGAAAAACTTATGACTAAAAGTGAGATAAAAAATACAAGTCAGGAATGTAAAGTGGAATGTCAGGCAAAAAATGAGAACAAAAGATGACAAGATAAGAGATCTACATCTACAATCTAAGAATCAGGCATGTTCTCGGGAACACCATTGAGGATAGTCTCGAAATCAAAGCCATGAACGGCACCTTCCAGGTCATCAGGGATATCCAGGTGCTGAAGGGACAACTCGTTAGCATGTTTCTCCTCCTCCTCGTCGGGATCCGGCATGATCTCGAGAAAATCGAACTTTGCAGGATGGAAGTCGGAGTAAAGTTTCATCAGTCTGTCGTACAGTGTCTTCTGCATGTCGCATCAGCCACACCTAAAAGACGAACTTCTTTAGCCCGCCAAAGCCGTCCCTCCTGAGTTTCCAACCATGCTCGAATATATTCTGAATGATGACTTTCCATTCTAGAGGTCATAATCTCTAAGAACTCCGGGGAAGTTTGGAATGCCGCAACTGCCTGACGTCCCACATCCGCAGATGATGCCTCCAGTTGATCATACTTTGAATGTCGCAAGCCATACTTCAATTGAAGCTCGGACATGCTAGCCTCTGCTACGTTCGCCCGACGCTGAGCCTCGTCAACTTGGTGTAAGAGCCCCTCGCGCTGGCGATCCATCCCTTGGAATGCGGTCATGATATCCATTAGCCCCTACAGGAAACGTGGGGTTAGCGATAAAGAGTAAGACAACACTCAAGAGGCGGAAATAATATGACCTACCGCGGTGTGGGACTCGATAGAGCGCACCACCAAGGTAAAGAGATTGGAAGATATCAGATAATCGCGGTTCCCGGAAATAAAAAATGGAACTATGTTTGATGCCCATTCCACATTCGAGATCGATGGAATGCTAGTAGTGGTACCCGGATATTCAACTGGAGGACCCTTGTGTTGCTTCCCCGCAACGAGTGGGATTGCCTCGGATTTCGAAGGACCAGACTTGGCATCTTCCTCATCGGCCAGGGCATCAAGAGTGCCCCACAGACTTGCAACCTCTGTTAAAAAAAGGAAAATCGAGGTTAATTTGATTTATGCAGGATTGTATTATTCCTTTGTTCTCGACTTGAGAGGAGGATTCACACCTTTCTTCTTCTTCACAACTGGATTCCCGTGAGGCGGAGCAGCTCCGTGTCTCTTCTCGACATCCATCTTCTCGAACATGCTTGCATCGATCAGACCCTCATTCGCACCAGGCACCAAAGCTGGAACGCAATATCCTGCACCACGACTAAGGGAGTCAATGTATCAGTCCCACCCGACATACCTGCAAGGAAACAAACGGGGTGAGATAAAATCCTTCTAGCCGAGTTGTCCTCTCTTATTTAAATTGGAAAGAAGTTCGCACCTTTGCCATTCTTGGCGACCTGGTCTTGACGGGGTGGGGAAGCCCGACGCTTCTCTCTAAATTCGAGCGGACCCGTATCTGCGCTAGGCGCTGGAGGTGGAAGCGTGGCCTCCGGTGGCGCTGTCGAGGCAGCGACCTCGTCCCGGTTGGCGGTTGAATCTGCAGTAAAGTAACAAAGTAAGGAGCCATAATATGTAATATACGAGACCTGCTGAGACGGAGGAATTACCTATATACGAGTTTATCGGGAAAGGCCCCCCTTGAAGCAAGGTGTCGATCTCGGGAAAGGCCCCCCTTGAAGATCGGGGGTGGGAATAACGGGCTTGTTGTTATGGGAGCAGAGGCCCACACCCATTTATTCTGCCACTTCCTAGTTGTGTCTCGGTAATGGTCGAAGAGCTTACGACGTGATGATTAGCAAAGTGACACAAACCCACTATCATCTATTTTATTGCAAGGACGACTACACCTAAAACAAGCGTGAAATAGGAGGATGGATGGCCGAATAGCAACCTTCTTACAGCGAGCAACGAAAGTGGACATGAACATGTGCGCAGTTGGGGTCATCTGGCTCGGCGATATCCTGATATGAGTAAGGAGTGTCACCAGGAAGGGACACAATGGCACTTGCATGCCCCGCGCCATTGATGGAATGTGAACCCCAAAAAATAACTTCGGCGGTGGGCTTGTGAGGTTGCTTCCACGGTCTGACAATATAAGAGTGCAATCACTGCCGACTAGACGTTTCACCAACTTCAAATCTGACTCCGTACTGGAGGAACACAAGCGCTCCCTCCAGGCATTAGGATCCTCAATACTGTCCGATTGTGTCGATTCGCCGTCTGACTTGGACAAACTATCCAACTGAGAGGAATAGTCCGCTACAAGGGGCAGAGTTTTTGGCAGGTGGCGCAAGTTTATCACGCGAACCCTTTGGAACAAGTCGGAGCTGACCTTTGGAAATAATAATTCGCGTAGTGGGTCTGTCCGACCATTACGACATAATGAGCTCTTCCATTGGCGTAGGATTTCCGGAGAGGCCTTGAGTTTCCCTTGAATGAACTGGAATGGGATTGAGTTGACCCATATGACCTTGATCAACATGATTTTAATCGGTATCATCGCGAACACGCACTCCAGGGCAAGGCCGTGTAACCAAGCCTCCCAGTGACAACCCTGCAGACATCTCACCAAGGCAAGGTCGCGTGACCAAATCCCCATGCATCTACCTTTTCGCTGTCTCGTTGGGTCGGGCACGTATGGCCAAGCCTATTGGTGATGACCGAATGCTCACGTCACCGGGTTGAGCTTGTGCAACTTTGCTTCCTGGTGACAACCGCACGATCACCAAGCCTCCGGGACGTGACATTACGTCCACCTCGCCATGTGGGGCTTGCGTGGATAGTACCCGACTCGTCGAGCGTCGTTGAGAGCGTTCGGCAGCCTGAGGACGTTCTCAAATTGAGGGAGCATCGTAATGAGCTTTACGCCTTGTACTGCACTGGGAATCCGTGCGTGGACTTTGAACATGAGGCGGTGATGATCGTGAGTGCTCAAAGTTTCTCTGACCACTCGGACTGTGGGACTGCGACGATGAGCCACGTCGTGACTGGCCTTCCCTGCGGTGCGGCGGAGAAGGGGAACCACTACGTTTCCTTCGCCGGCTGGAGTCGGGCTTCTGCGGCGGCGCCATGTCTGCGGCTGGAGAAGCTGGAATTGGGGGAACCTGCAAGGGTGAAACATGGGTGAATAAGGGTGTTATGCGTGTGGCGGTAACTTAGGGTTGGGGTGCGGCCTGTTCGAGATTTCCTTTTTAAAATAATAATAATAATGAGAATTGTTAATTGGGGATAGCTCCGAGCTATTTAGGACATCAATTGGAATGAAGTTGACCTCGGTTGTCTACGCTAGGTATGGGATACAGATACACGGCTTGGATCTTTTTAATGTGTGGTTAATACACAACTATGAGAGGCAAGACCCGCATTCCAAAATTTCAGGCCCAAATAATCGAAGCTGATAGAGAACGGTGCGTACCGCATTCCGTATCCCAGACCACGCACTGGGAATCCGTGCGTGGACTTTGAACATGAGGCGGTGATGATCGTGAGTGCTCAAAGTTTCTCCGACCACTCGGACTGTGGGACTGCGACGATGAGCCACGTCGTGACTGACCTTCCCTGCGGTGCGGCAGAGAAGGGGAACCGCTACGTTTCCTTCGCCGGCTGGAGTCGGGCTTCTGCGGCGGCGCCATGTCTGCGGCTGGACAAACTGGAATTGGGGGAACGAGCATGGCTGAAACATGGGTGAATAAGGGTGTTATGCATGCGGCGGTGACTTAGGGTTGGGGTGCGGCCTGTTCGAGATTTCCTTTTTAAAATAATAATAATAATGAGAATTGTTAATTTGGGATAGATCCGGGCTTTTTAGGACATAAATTGGAATGAAGTTGACCTCGACTGTCTACGCTAGGTCTGGGATACGGATACACGGCTTGGATCTTTTTAATGTGTGGTTAATACACAGCTATGAGAGGCAAGACCCGCATTCCAAAATTTCAGGCCCAAATCATCGAAGCTGATAGAGAACGGTGCGTACCGTCGGGCAAAGCAAGCAGTAGGGATCAAAGCAAAAGGGCCAATCAAGATTCAGGGAGAATAATGTTCCTACCTTTTGTTCTGAAGCACCCCTTCATGGTGAATATGAGGAGATTTCTCCCCGTCCAGAATGACGATGACCCCGGATTGCTAATCGAATAGTAAAGACCCTAGATTGTTATCCGGACAAGACA